TTAGTAGAGACAGAGTTTCACCATGTGAGCCAGGATGGTCTCGATCTCCTGACCTTCTGATCCACCCACCTCGGCCTCCCAAAGTGCTATTCAACTATTTCTTTTCCATCCATCCACCCTCCTTCTTCTTCCCTCCTGCTTTCTCCCCACCCTCAATGGATTTAGCTGATTCTTCCTTAGTCTGTTCTTTCCATATGGTTATACACGCTGTGTCTTTTTCTCATAGTCATTACCTCAGGAATTTTAATATGCATGCTTAACAAGGTAATCAAAACACAAGGATGTTAGAACACTTTAATTCAGTCACTCACCGCCTGACTTGTATACTGTTGTTTCCAAAAACATTAGTTCTTTATGTTTTTTTCTTTTTCTTTTTCTTTTTTTTGGACATTCAAATTAGTGTTATTTTTGTATAGTTCTTTTAACAAGAAACATATGTGCAGAAAGAGTATGTGAGGGCAAATTCTAGAATTCACTGCAGAATGTAATGTTGCATATACCTCAAGTGTTACATATTTTTCTATATGCTATCAAATAATATCAAATGAAAATTTAAATTTTTGCTACTTACCCCAAAACATTAAATAGAATTAGAAATATTAATTTCTTGAGGAATAAGCAATTCATTGAATATATTTTATGCCAAAGTCTGATTTTATTTCGACTTCAGAGAAGTCAAAGGTTCTATTATTCTAGGACCTTAATCACTGTAGCGTTAATAGAGGGGACCCAGTTTAAGTGGGCTAATATCTAATACCATGGGAAATAAATGGAGCATCTTTCTAAAGTGTGTGTTAGCACTTTTCAGAGTACTTGCTATGTGTTACGTAGAGTATCTTCTTAATCTCTCAGTCACTGCCCTACAGGGTGTTGGTATTATTATCCTTCTTTTATTGGTAAAGAAAATGCAGAAAAGACATAGCTAATTAGTGGTTGCCAGGATTGGGGTTTAATAAATTCATCTAGACTTTATTTTAAAGCAATATCTGTTTGGAAATATTCACAGCCCAGTCACTGAGAAATGGTAAAATTTCCACACTGTGTTCCTACTGTATTGGTTATCTGCTGCTAGATAAGAAATTATCCAATGTTAGCAGCTTGAAGTAACACACATTTATGTGATTTCACAGTTTATGGGGTCAGGAATCTGGGCATGGTGTAGCAGGGTCTGCTACTAACTACAGGGTCATGGGCTACAGTGAAGGTGTGAGATAGGGCTACAATAGTATTTGAGGGCTTGGCCAGTAAAGGATCTGCCCCTAAACTTATTCAGTTGGCAGTATTTAGTTCCTCTTGAGGTGTTAGACTGTTGGCCAAAGTCTTGCCTTGGTTGTTTCTCACATGGGCCTCTCATATCTCACAACATGGCAGCTTCCTTTATCATAGCCAGCAAGTGAGAAGGTGAGAGGGAGTGCTAGCACAATGGAAGTCAGTTTTTTGTGACCTAATCAAGGACGTGACAGCTTATCACTGTGGTCATACTCTGTTTTTTAACAAACTTTTATACTGAAAAACAACAGACCTAGGTTCATACCTCTCTTACCTTATATTGAGATAAATTCAAAATGCATCAGAGATTTAAGTGTAAAAAAAAAGGCCGGGCGTGGGCTGGGTGTGGCGGCTCACACCTGTAATTCCAGCACTTTGGGAGGCCAAGGTGGGTGGATCACTTCAGGTCAGGAATTCAAGGCCAGCCTGGCCAACATAGTGAAACCCCATCTCTACAAAAATACAAAAATTAGCCAAGCATGGTGGCGTGCACCTGTAATCCCAGCTACTTGGGAGGCCGAGGCAGGAGAATCACTTGCACCCGGAAGGTGGAGGTTGCAGTGAACTGAGATTGCACCACTGTACTCCAGCCTGGGCGACAGAGTGAGCCTCCATCTCAAAAAAAAAAAAAAAAAAAAAAAAGCTGTGGCTGTGGCTGAGTGCAGTGGCTCATGCCTGTAATACCAGCACATTGGGAGGCCAACACGGGAGGATCACATGAGTCCAGGAGGGCAACATAGTAAGAACGTGTCTCTACTGAAAACAGACAAACTTAGCTGGGTTATTCTGTTTGTTAAAAGGAGTTACCAGGTCCGCCTCATGCTCCAGAAAGGCATGAATACCAGGAGGCGAGGATCACTGGGGGCCATCTTAGAAGGCTGCTTACCACAACTGCCAACCTGGTGTTTTTATTTGAGGTGCCAGAGGTAGAGGTGCAGTCATACAGAAGGCTCCTCATCTCTTTGAATAAGCCCCCAGCCCATAGCTATTCTGGGTTATTTTTCCAGAAGCTCAGTGACCAGGATACATAGTGAGAAGTAAAAAATATAAAATATTGTCATAGGAAGGGATTTGGCTGAAAGAGTCAGAAATGTGAAAGCCCTAAGGAAGACAAAGGATGTCAAGAAACGTGAAAAAGGGAGGAATGAGGGAATTGTCAGCAAGGACCATTCTCTACACGCAGGTGTAGAGAAAACGAGGAGGTGATTGAGAGGAGTCAACAGCCTCGTGGTAATAATAAAAATCTTCGTCTCAGACGGGCACAGTGGCTCACATGTGTAATCCCAGTGCTTTGGAAGGCTGAGACAGGAGGATCATCTGAGGCCAGGAGTTGGAGAACAACCTGGGCAACGTAGTGAGATGACCCTGTCTCTACAAAAAAATAATAAAAAAATTAGCTGGCTGTAGTGGTGTGCACCTGTAGTTGCAGCTACTTGGGAGCTGGGACTCGAGGATTGCTTGAACTGAGGAGCTGAAGATTGCAGTGAGCTAAGAACATGCCACTACACTCCAGCCTGAGAGACAGAGAAAGACTCTGTCCCCTGTCTCTTTAAAGAATAAAAAAATTGGCTGGACTTAGTGGCTCAGGCCTGTAATCCCAGCACTTTGGGAGGCCAAGGCAGGCGGATAACAAGGTCAGGAGTTCAAGACCAGCCTGGCCAATATGGTGAAACCCCATTTCTACTAAAAATACAAAAACTAGCTGGGCGAGGCGGCAGGCGCCTGTAGTCCCAGCTACTCAGGAGGCTGAGGCAGGAGAATTGCTTGAACCCGGGAGACGGAGGTTGCAGTGACCCGAGATTACACCGCTGCACTCCAGCCTGGGTGACAGAGCGAGACTCCGTCTCAAAAAAAAAAAAAAAAAAAAAAAAAAGAATTAAAAAATCCCCCCAAACCCAAACTTCATCTCACTTGACTCTCTTTGAAACTCTCAGGCTTCTAAGGAAACCCTTTGTTTCTCCAACTCCTTTCTTACCTCCTTGGAAGAATCCTCTCTCCCTCTTCCCCACCTCTCTTCCGGCCTCACAGAGGCCTCGATGGCCTGAGCTCACTCCCTCTTTCCTGTTCCCATTACCTGAGCCCTCCAGCCTCTGTCCCGAGATTTAGGGCTTCTCCTCTCACCTTCCAACAAGAAAAATTATGTGGAGGAAATTAGACTCCAATGTTTCAGAGGAAAAAAGGTACAAATTCGATCCTGAAGAGGCCGTCAGTGTTTGATACATTCTATTGAAAAGAGTCAGGAGTGTACTTATAGGAAACAAGTTAATCAATAAACTTTTACCCAGAGCAAAGTGACAGTGCACACACATTCATACTCTCTCTGATGGCTTTTATCCGAAGTATTCAAGACCACCCAAAGGATGATAAAACAGAGACAAGCATGTCTGGCTCCAAACAACACCCTTAAACTGGATGATGCAATCATTTGGGGAACCCCTCCCCCAGAGTGAGTGGAGGTTACCAATTCCTAGTTACCTATGAATACTTCAAGTCCTGTCCTTCAAAAGTCAAGGGTTAAAACAGACAAAATGTCATCGCTAATATATCCTAAAACACAAAATGGACAAGTATAAAACCCTTGCCAATAAATAATATTGATAAAGTTTCTCATTTGGAGTGTTCTCTCCCACCAGGTTGGTAGTGGGAATATCCTTTAAAAATTAATCCACTGAAAGGAGGAGGAGTGTGATTGACTCATTGAGGAGGCAGATTTCTAGAATTAACTTTCCTTTGTCTGTACCTCATCCAAAATTGGAGCCCTTCAGTTATAGTTTCCATCTTAATAAGAATACTAAGATTTCAGAAATTGGTACATGTAAACTACAATCTTAACCTCCCCTCAGGTTTAAAAATGTAGCTATCTGGTTTTCTGAGACATTATTTTTTTGTCTGGAGGAAGAAATTGTTGAGTCCGTGTGCACAGGGCTGGGATTGGGAGTGGGGTGAACTGTAAGTAAAAACAAGGGATCTTACTGGGGTGATGGAAATGATCTAACACTGTGCTGATGGTTGCACAGCTTGGTAAATTTATTTTTAAAAAATCAAAGAATTGTACATTCGAAATGAGCAATTTTATGTTATATAAATGATGTCATTATAAAGTTATTTTAAAAAGAGGCAGTGTGCAGATCTCTTAAAACCACATCATGCACCTTTTAGTAAGGTATTACTCTTATTTCCTTCTAAATTCTTTCTTATACTTTAACCCTTTTGGTATCAGATCTTTTTAAAAATCTTATAGCCTCTAAAAAAGCTGGTCTCTTCTTTCAGTTTCCCTATGTGTTTCATTATTTTGGTTATTTTATACTTAAAAAAATAGGAACTATAACTAGAAGGCAAAATAAATAAAACTCAGGTTAATTTATTCTTCAGAATAAATTGTAAGGCATATTTATATACTCTGCAGCTATATGTAAGAAGGTGAGAAACGTGCTTTCCTTCCTCTGTTCTTCTCTGTCCTTTCACATGCCTACATGTATTTGCTTCCCGGTGAGTTAGCGGGACCCAGGTCTTCTGAGTCTAGATCTGTTGTTCATGCTCGTGGACCATATCGGTAGAAATCAGGGGCCTTCCCTGCTGCATCCAGTCATCAGACAAGCCAGTTTTTCCAGTATCTCTTTACCTTTTTACCCAATGAACTTAAGTATTTGGAATGGTTGACCCTTGTGTATATTATAGGTATCAGACTTAAGAGATTAAAAACTCTGCTTAATTTTTTATTTTCCGTATAGCTCAAATCTAATCCAAGTGAAAATGAAGAAAAGGAAGCGCAGTCTCAACTTATAAAATCTGATGAAATGCAGCGTTTGCGTTCGCAAGCACTTGATGCTTTTGAAAGTGGAGATTATGCTGCTGCTATAGCCTTCCTTGATAAGATTTTAGAGGTAAGTCTCTTAGATACTGCAGTTGACCAGCCTAACACTTATTGTAAGGCACATTTATATACTTTGACATGTCACATATCACAAAAACCTAGACAGGAGAAAATCAGGTTGGTCCTTGGGCTTTTAACTCTTAAGTATAAAATAATGTTTATATAAAACAAAATTTGGACTGAAGTTTTCAGTAAATGTACTGAATGTGCTGTAGCATGAGAGTTAAATATGTTTATATATTGCTTGCTTTGCTATTTTAGTTGATTTTGTATTTTTTTGGGAAGAAAACTAGGGGTTAGATAATGGGATAAAAGATGAAAGAGATGGTTGGAATAAAAGGAAAAATGATGTTCGGGAGGAAAGAGGAATGTTTAGAGAAAAATTTCTAGAAAATAAGGCAGATAAAGAGTTGATAGTATGTACCTGTAGTCCTAGCTACTTGGGAGCTGAGGCTGGAGGATCACTTGAGCCCAGGAATTCGTGGCTGCAGTGAGCTGTGATCGCTCCACTGTCCCCCAGCCTGGGCAAGAGAATGGGACCCTGCCTCTAAAAATATTAATAATTGACTGAGTACGGTGGCTTATGCCTGTAATCCCAGCACTTTGGGAGGTTGAGGTGGGTGGATCACTTGAGGCCAGGAGTTTGAGACCAGCTTGGCCAACATGGCAAAACCCTGTGTCTTAAAAAGAAAAAAAAAAAATGGTGTGGTGGTGCATGCATGCCTGTGATCCCAGCTGAGGCGCTGAGAAGCGGAGGTTGCAGTGAGCCGAGATCATGCCAAAAAAAAAAAAAAGAATAATAATAATGGTTGATAGAATCCAGAGAGTTCTAGCTAGGGAAATCTAAGTCTAGGTTTCCTTGCCTCTGAAGGATTTAATGACAACTGATTTCCGAAGGAAGTCTACTGAAATATTCAAATGGAAGCAGTCGTAATTCACATTTATTTAAGATTTTCACAGTATTTTGATATACAGTTTCATTTAATTTTGGCTCTAAACTTATATGTAGAATGGACATTTTGTTGATAATTTTACAGAAGATATTGTGATACGGTCTAGTAGAATTCATGTTTTACTGGGTTATTTTGTTTATGCTTTAAGGAAATATAGTTTACATTTTTACCTTCCCATAGACCATTTTGACTTAGCTCATTGTCCATGATATTTATGTGTAATGTTGATTTTGATATTTTCGTATATGTGAAAAGTCAATACGAGTTTAGAACAGCTCTAAGAAATATGCAAAGATACTTCCACCAGCCTTATTGATGAGCTCTTGGGTTTATGATTTGAAGAATACTATTGTGTTTACTAAACCCTTATGAACTTTTTGGGAATAGGGATGGTGAAGCCTCAACCTCCTGCTTTCTCACGGTATTTTTTTCTTTTCTTTTCTTTTCTTTTCTTTTCTTTTCTTTTCTTTTCTTTTCTTTTCTTTTCTTTTCTCTTCTCTTCTCTTCTCTTCTCTTTCTTTTTTATTTTTTTCTTGATATGAGGATTTACTTTTAAGGAGGTGACAGTTTACAGAAGATAATTTCTTAAAACATTTTTTTGTTTAGAGACTTGGTCTCTCTCTCTGTTACCTAGACTGGAGTGCAGTGGTACGATTATAGCTCACTGTAACCTCAACCTCCTGGGCTCAAGTGATCCTCCCACCTCAGCCTCCTGAGTAGCTGGGACCACCGGTGTGTTCCACTGCACCCAGTTAATAATTTTAAATTTTTTGTGGAGATGAGATCTTGCTATGCTGCCTAAGCTGGTCTGGAATTATAGGCATGAGCCACTGTGCCCAGCTAAGAATTTAATGTGGTTATTAGCAGAAAAAAGTAGTTTGCCAATTTAGAACCTAGATTTTATTTTTTGACTACAAATTAGAATTGTTGATTAAGTATAAAAATCTGATAACAGAATATTCTCTTCAAATATGCTTCACTAGGAACAACCCTCCAATAGTAAATGCTATGTTTTCTTATTTTCAGTGTCTTAGAATTATATAATTGAAGGAGGTAAGAAAAGGGCCTTGTTATTATATATATCCCTTCCCCCATTAGAATTCATTTACAACATTTTTGGAGAAACTATTTTGTCACATCAGTTTTGTCACATTTAAATTGTATCAGATTTTAAAATAATATTTGCAGTCTATAAGTCATCACATTAATTGAGAATGTTTTATGTTGATAAATACGTAGATAAAAAATACGTGGAATGCAACAATGAATGTGCATAATTTTTTCTTCCTTAAAGTCTAGTTCTTTTGTTCCTCAAGGTTTGTGTTTGGGATGCAGAGCTACGGGAACTTCGAGCTGAATGTTTTATAAAAGAAGGAGAACCTAGGAAAGCTATAAGTGACTTAAAAGCTGCATCAAAGTTGAAGAATGATAATACTGAGGCGTTTTATAAAATAAGCACACTGTACTACCAGCTAGGAGACCATGAACTGTCCCTCAGGTCAGGCCTACTGACACACGTCTGATCTTCTTTAATTGTTGGCAGTAAGATAACCTCATCTTGTTTTAACATTTTAATATTAAATTAATAAGATGATGGTGGTTAAGGCTATTTTTATATTGTATATCCATTTATATATTTTGTGTTATTCCCATGTTACTTTAATTCCACAGTTTGTTTTCATGAAGCTGCTTATTAAAATAAACAGGAAGGCTCTTATATTTCTAGAAACAAAGTTGAATGTTTACTATGTAATGCTAGTAAGTCATTTTAATTTGAATTAACAAATGTATGCATAGTACAATGCCATATATAAATGTGTATAGTAAATTATAAGTCTCAGTATGTTTTTGTTTAATTGTTGCAAACAAAAAATACTTTTACTGTGATTTCTGTATTTAGCGTGGAAAACTACTCATTGATTGTTTTGACATGGAGTATTTTCCTTTTTTTAAATACATGAACAGTGAAGTTCGGGAATGTCTTAAACTTGACCAGGACCATAAAAGGTGTTTTGCACACTATAAACAAGTAAAGAAACTTAATAAGCTGATTGAGTCAGCTGAAGAGCTCATCAGAGACGGCAGGTGAGAATACGGTTGTTCCAGCTGTCCAGCCATTCCTTATATGTTAGACTGTGGGCACAAGTGAATTACAGAACTGCTTTTACTTCTCAGCCATTGAGGGTGGGGTATTCTAGACAGCCCTGGGCCTTAGCAAAACTACCAGAACTGGACATTTTTGGAATAGGGAAGAATATAAACAATAGTAACTGTGTAGTATTCTTACCAGCAGACTTACTTGTATTATACCAAATATTTATTATCTCCTATATCAGGCACTGAGCTGTGTCCTGAGGGTGCAGAAACGAAGCTGATGGTAGTTTGTGTTCTTAACAAGTTTATAGCATTGCGTGGGAGACACATACAGGAACAGATTATTAAAAGACAATATGATACCAAAGTGATAGAATGTACATAGGATAATTGGAGTACCAAAAAGGAGTATTTACTCCAAACCAGGATGGTGAAGGCAAGGAGTGAAAGAGAAGCTTTTTTTAGAGCAGACGATAGATATTTAAATCCTAATCCTAAAGAGAAAGTAAGAGTGGGCAGAAGTAAGAGGCTGTGTTGGTGTGAGTGTTATTTGTAGAGGGTTTGTAGGCTGGGCGGGAGGACTGAAAAGAGTACAGGGCACTGCAGACAAAACTGCCTAATAGAAAATAGGCTCTAATTCCTCTACTTTTAGTAGCTTTGTAAATTACCATCGTGAGAATGCTTTACCCAGTTTCCCCCAACATCTTGCAGACTATAACGCCTTGAAAAACCATAGTACCTTGTCACAATGAAGTTATTGATGTGGGTGCAGTCAAGATACAGAATAATTTCATCCCAACAAGGACCCCTCATGTTGCCCTTATAGCCACACCTACTTCCCTGTTGTTCCTATCCCTTCCTTAGCTAATCTAGTTACTTCTAGAATTTTGTCATTGTAAGAATGTTACATAAATAGAATCATACAATGTATAAACTTTTGGGATTGGCTTTTTTTTTTTTTTTTTTTTTTGAGACAATCTCACTATGTTGCCCACCTGTTCACAGGTGCAGTCATAGTACATTGCAGCCTTGAACTGTTGGCCTTGAGTGATCCTTCTGCTTCAGCCTCCTGAGTAGCTGGGACTTCAGACACATGCTACCACAGCTGGCAGCATGGGCTTTTTCCCCCCTCATTCGAATTCTCTGGAGATTTATCCATATTGTATCAATAATTCCTCGTTTACTGTTGAATGGTTTCCGTGGTGTGGATTTACTGCACTTTGTTTAACCATTTATCCATTGAAGGACCTGAGGTTGGGAGTTCGAGACCAGCCTGACCAACACAGAGAAACCCTGTCTCTACTGAAAATACAAAATTAGCTGGGCATGGTGGCACATGCCTGTAATCCCAGCTACTGCAGAGACTGAGGTGGGAGAATCACTTGAACCCAGGAAGCGGAGGTTGCGGTGAGCTGAGATTGCACCATTGCACTCCAGCCTGGGCAACGAGAGCGAAACTCCGTCTCAAAAAAAAAAAAAAAAAAAAAAAAGTTTTCTGTTTGCAAGTCTGCCCTTTTCAGGTCCTCTGGCTAGAGACAGCAGCCTTCTGCAGGTTTTTGTTACTGTCGTTCTGTACCTGTTGGCATTTCTGCATTGCTGGAATCTTCAGCTCCAAGTCTGGGATACATGAGACGAAAAAAGGAACCCAGGGAACTTCTTACCATGTTTTTCCTCAGGTCCTGAGTCACTAGCTAGTCTGTCTTCTCTCCTCCTTTGAAAGTTTTCTATTTTAAAAAATATACATTTAATTTCTAGGGTTTTTAGTTGTGCTTAGCTGGAGGAATTGGGAAAAATACATCTATTCCACTTTCCCAGAAGCTGGCTTTTTTGCTTTTTTCTTTTACTTTAAGTTCCAGGATGTATGTGCAGAACGTGGAGGTTTGTTACATAGGTAAACGTGTGCCAAGGTGGTTTGCTGCACCTATCAACCCATTACCTAGGTATTAAGCCCCGCATTCATTAGCTATTTGTCCTGATGCTCTCCCTCCCCTTGCTGCCTGCCCCACACAGGCCCCCGTGTGTGATGTTCCCTTCCCTGTGTCCATGTGTTCTCATTGTTCACCTCCCACTTATGAGTGAGAATATGCAGTGTTTGGTTTTCTGTTCCTGTGTTAGTTTGCTGAGGATGATAGAGAAGCTGGCTTTTATTTTAAATGTTTTAGTTAAGCCTGTGTTTTAATACATCAGCATATTTACATATGAAGATTGTAGCACTTTGGGAATAATGTGCCACCATGGCATAGAAACATATTTTTTAGTTTACTATTGTTGAGGAAAATAACTGAGTATCTATAACAGGATTAGTACTTTTTACTGGTTTGAAGAAAATGCTGAAATAGCTTTTATTCTTAGAAAGCTTATACAGTTGGGAATTTAATCAGGTACCTTCTGTATGAACTACATTGTACTTTGTTGTGAATACTGACATTAATTATATAAAATGGCATGTAATGGGTTCCGTTATTTTCATGGAAGTGTTTACTGACCAAGAAATAAAACTTGATCCCTGTATTGTTCAATGTGCTCAGTATAAGTCAGACTTCAACAGGGTATTTTACTCAGGTTCGGAATTCTGAGCTTGTTTCTGTAAGGAAATTCTTCTGGTTTGATTGGTACTTACAGGTATGCTTTGTTCTGTCCATCTGCATCTCCTATGGTCAGATGTTTTTATTTCTTAACTCTTAATTATGGAGTGTACCTTCTATGGGACTCTAGATTAATAAGGGAAAAGCCAAATCTGAAGCCGTGGCCTCATCCAGTTGGATTGATTAAGCAACACATGGTGAAGAGGGGAGGAGCCTTTCTACAGCTCTGGAAATCGAATGTCATTGTTTCTTATCATGATTTGCTCATTTCTTAGATACACAGATGCTACCAGCAAATATGAATCTGTCATGAAAACAGAGCCAAGCATTGCTGAGTATACAATTCGTTCAAAGGAGCGGATTTGCCATTGCTTTTCTAAGGTAACAGTTGACTTGTTCCCAGAAATGTGAAAACTCATCATGTGGAATACCAACCATAAATCCCTTTCTCACATTTCCTTTTAGGACGAGAAGCCTGTTGAAGCTATTAGGGTTTGTTCTGAAGTTTTACAGATGGAACCCGACAATGTGAACGCCCTGAAAGACCGAGCAGAGGCCTATTTGATAGAGGAAATGTATGATGAAGGTAAATCTTTAAGGAATTTGATTTGCAGTACCGAAGTGTTGATTAGGAAATTATCACATTTTAAGCTTCCTTTTCCTTAAAACAAGTTTACCGGAGTACCTGGAAATGGTGATGATTTAGAAAAATGGCAGAGAACTTGAAAATTACTCTTCCATAGTGGAACCTGAAAGGTATACCATGTGAGGAAAGAGTTCTGCCATTGAAACCAGTTCAGTACAATAGAAAAATAAGTATTTTAGCTTTTTTTTGTAGAAAGTTAGGAAAAAAATAAAATAGAAAATTTAAATGTAGTTCTCATGTCATCCAGAGGTAATCACTGTTCATTTTGCATTTATCTTTTCCAGCTTATGTCTATGCACATACATTACTCTATATTTTATGCACATATACATATTCTCTCTATATATACACACACATACACACTCGGTGTGTATGAAACATATATACAGAAAGCATACATATATGTCATATATCCCTAATATAAAATGATCCTCTGTGACCCCAAGCTGTGTAGTAAAATAGGACAGTTGCTGCCCTGTTTTGTTCAAGCCGAATGAAGTAACAAGATTCCTGCTAGATGTTGTGAGGACCTTGGTTAAAAGCAGTGTCCTGTTTTTGGAAGAAAACTGTGGCGTATATAGTAATATATAGTTTTTGAAAAATAGAATCCATATATATATATGGAGATATATATATATATAGTTTTATACTTTTTTTCATGTGACACTAAGTTATGAACATTTAAATGAAACAGTTTTTAAAAAAATAGCGTTATAAGCCCTTATTGCAAATATTTTGTTTCAAATTCAGATAAAGCATTTTAAATCAAAAACTAATTTTCTCTTATAGTTAAATGAAGGGTTTGAATGGTAAAATTTGGTTTGTGATACTCTTTTTAAGGCAAAACTGGTCAATCTGTTTTTCCCTGCTTTCCTCAATTAGAAAAGAATCTTGCTCCTAAGCAAGTTCCCGGTTTCCAGGGAATGATAACAACCTGGTCACTACTATTCCTGTGACATCTTGTGGGGGATTCAGACCTTGAGGTCTCTGAATGAGGCTTGAAATGAATGCAGTCAAAATGATGTTTTAATATTCATAAGCATGCTTCAATAAGGCAGGTAGTCCACATAGAAAATCCCTTTAGCACACTCGTTCTCTTTCCTTTTGAGCCACCGTGTCTACTCGCTGAGATGGTTTTACTCTAGGATTTTGCATTCCAGTTAGTTTTTGGAACTCTTTATCAAAGATACTTTTGTCATCTGTATGTAAACCCTTAGCTCTTACTGCGAAATTAGAGAAGCTACAGAAGAATATAAACAGCTTAGCTGTTAAAAAAAAAAAAAAAAGAAGGCTAAATCTTGTAGAATGCTAAATATAATTTGAAAGATGCTTTTGAAACTTGAATGTTAAACTGACTTGCTTTTTGGGGAAACCTGATGGCTTAATTCTGGAAGAAAAAGATGCTTAGTGCTAATTTGATATAATTGATCTGGTTTCTTTTTTTTTTTTTTTTTTGGAAATGGAGTCTTGGTCTTTTACCCAGGCTGGAGTGCAATGGTGCAATCTTGGCTCACTGCAACCTCTGCCTCCTAATTGCAACCAGTTCTTCTGCCTTAGCCTCCCGAGTAGCTGGGATTACAGGTGTGCACCACCACGCCTGGCTAATTTTTGTACTTCCAGTAGTGATGGGGTTTCACCATATTGGCCAGGCTGTTCCCGAACTCCTGACCTCAAGTGATCTGCCTGCCTTGGCCTCCCAAAGTGCTCGGATCACTTGGCCCTGCCCAGTTGATCTGTCTTTGAAGCCTGTTGTTTCCTTGAAAAAATTCTTTTGTATAGGAATTTATTAAAGAGAGAGAGAGAATGGTTGCCAGCTCTCTAAATTTGCAAAAGAAAGAAAGGAAAAGAGCCTGTATAATTGAAACTGACAAGTATTACCTGACTCGTTTGGATTGGAATCAGGGGTTTAGTAAATGATGTAAATAAATAATAATCTTACTTAACTAAGCTAAATAACAGTATGTCTTCAGTTTACTTGAGTTAGAAATATGCTTTCCATATTCTTCTTCCTGGTTTTACCTTTTTTAAATAAGCAATTAAAAATGATGGCAGGTACATAGTAAAGAATGAATAGGTTTAGGTTAGTGAATAATGGAACATGGACGTTTATTAATTTGGGGCTTAGAATTATCAGGAAACATATCGGGATATCACTCAATAGAAAGGAAGTAAAGTAAGACTGTTATTTGAGGATGCCTCTGAGATCTTGAAAAATCAAGGGAAATTCTTTATCTCTGCATGTCTCCGTTTTAATAGCTTTTGAGAGGAAGAAACTGACATTGAAGCAATACGAAAATATTGACAAATTCCTTTGAATATAGGGGTAACACAGGTGTCCTTAGGAAATGATCAGTTATATTTTGCTAGAACTTTAGCTGTGTGAGGGCAGAGACCTGTGGCTGTTATATTAACTGATGCATTCCTGGTGCTTATGCTGGCACTCATGTTTGCTGAATGAATGAAGGTAATTTATTTATTATACAATGAAGTCATAGTGGAGAGTAGGGAATTTAGAATTAGTCCTGCCTTTGAGTCTGGCTTTGTGCAGTTATTCTATTTTTTTTTTTTTTTTTTTTTGAGATGGAGTCTCGCTCTGTAGCCCAGGTTGGAGTGCAGTACCGTGATCTCGGCTCACTGCAACTTCCGCCTTGCGGGTCCCAGTTCAAGCAATTCTCCTGCCTCAGCCTTCCGAGTAGCTGGGATTACAGGAACTGTGCCACCATGCCCAGATAATTTTTGTATTTTTAGTAGAGACAGGGTTTCACCATGTTGGCCAGGCTGGTCTTGAACTCCTGACCTCGTGATCCACCTGCCTCGGCCTGCCAAAGTGCTGGTATTACAGGCGTGAGCCACCGTGCCTGGCCAGTTATTCTATTTTTTGTTTTTAATTCTGGTAAAAGATACAATATAAAATTTACCATCTTAACCATTTTTACATGTATAATTTAGTAGAGTTAAATATGCTCACATTGCTGTGAAAAAGATCTTCAGAACTTTTTCATCTTTCTAATCTGATCTCTGTACCCATTAAACAGCCGCTCCTTTTTACCTCTCCCTTAACCCTTGGGAACCACCGTTCTGCTTTCTGTCACTATGAATTTGACTATTCTAGATCCTCATATAATTGGAATCATATACTATTTGTCTTATTGTGCCTGGCATGTTTCACTTAGCATAGTATCCTCCAGGTTCATCCATGTTGTGGCATGTGACAGGATTTCTTTTTCTTTTAAGGCTGAATAGTATTCCATTGTATGGATATCCCACATTTTGTTTATTAATTCATCCACTGATGAACATTTGTGTTGTTTCTGCCTTCTGGCTATTGGAATGGTGTTGCTATGGATATGGGTGTGCAAATATCTCTTTGAGACCCTGGTTTCAATTATTTTGGATATCTACCTAGAAGTGGGATTGCAAAATCATATGCTAGTTCTTTTTTAATTTTTTGAGGAACCTGCATACTGGTTTCTGTCATGGTTACACCATTTTACAATTTTACTAGCAGTGTATAAAGATTCTGATTCTTTCACATCCTCATCAACACTTTTTTTTTTTTTTTTTGAGACAGAGTCTTGCTCTGTCAGGCAGGCCGGAGTGCAGTGGTGCAATATGAGCTCACTGCAGTCTCCACCTTCTGGGTTCAGGTGATTCTCCTGCCCCAGCCTCCTGAGTAGCTGGGATTACATGTGTGTGCCACCACACCTGGATTTTTATTTTTATTTTTTTTAATTTTTAGTGGAGACAGAGTTTTCACCATGTTGACCAAGCTGGTCTCAAACTCCTGACCTCAAGTGATCCACCCGCCTCAGCCTCCCAAAGTGGTGGGATTATAGGTGTGAGCTACCATGCTCAGCTGGTCAACATTTTAGATTTTCTCTTTTTTTGATAGTAGCCATCTTAATGGGCTTGAAGGTGGTACCTGGTTTTGGTTTTGATTTTGATTTGTATTTCCCTAATGATTAGTGATGTTGAGCATCTTTTCATATGCTTGTTGGCCATTTATATATTTTCTTTGGAGTATGCCATTTATTTTTGCTATATGGTTTCAATCAAGCCATTTAATTTGTTACTTTTTACTCTACTTATCTGTAAAATAGGAATAAGAACAGTACTTATCTCCTAGAATTGTGGTGGCTATTAAATAAGATGATGCTCAGAAAATGTTCAGCTGCATCTAAATCATTGGTTTCCACTGTACTCATTTTCAGGTTGTTTGGAACTTACATTGACTTTTCTGTACAAACAATATTGTGTGGGATACCTAGCTAGCTAGGACTAACCTGTGACTGCTGCATGAACTCCCTTTGACGCAGCAGTTATTGTAGTGTTACTAGTAATATCAATAATTCTGTGAATAGGGCCAAGTAGAGTGCTTTCTCTGGATGAAGGCTGGCCTGGGCAAAATTGTGAAAGAGGTAAAGTTTATCTTTTGATTCCCTAGGGTGTTGTCCTATTCGCAGATTCTTGTGCCCTCTTGCTTATCCTGGGACTCCACCCTGTCATACTACCTAGGCCCGCCCTATCCCACAGAAGTATTCTGTGTTCAAAATTTATACCGGCCGGGCATGGTGACTCACACCTGTAATCCCAGAATTTGGGAGGCTGAGGCAGGTGGATCACCTGAGGTCAGGAGTTCGAGACCAGCCTGGTCAACATGGTGAAACCCCATCTCTACTAAAAATACAAAAATTAGCCTGGTATGGTGGTGTGCACCTGTAATCCCAGCTACTCGGGAGCCTGAGGCAGGAGAATCACTTAAACCCCGGGAGTTGGAAGTTGCAGTGAGCTGAGATCAGGCCATTGCATTCCAGCCTGGGCAACATGAGCAAAACTCAGTCTCAAAAAAAAAAAAAAAATATATATATATATACATATATATATACACACACACACACACATACCACCTCTGTGTATCAGCAGTATCAGCCCCCAGCCCA